GTCTTTTCCCGGAAACAATGTCAAAAAACAAATAACAAACTACTGGTACATGAAATTTTAATGATAATGTCTGACGTCTGCATTAGATTGTAAAGTATTGTATATCTGATTCGTGCCTGTGAGCGTGATAAAAAAATATTATAGATATTTTATTTCATCATGTTTGTCTTTTTTTTTTCTTTTTTTTATGAAAATTAACTGTATTGCAAATTATTTAAGTTGATAGCTAAAGTAGAAGTACTAAATTGCATATTATCTATTAGTTACATTTTTACAAATCGAATATTTTGCTTATTTATAACAGCAATTTAAATGTTCTTATGTATTATGTTTTATATTTTTCATACTACAATGGGCAGTATTTATAATAATATAATATAAAGAACAAAAATTTAAAAATATTTTTCAAATGTTTAATTAGACATATTAGACATGAATATCTTTCCAATTTAAATATATAAGCATTATTTTGATAAAAATAAACTGTCTTGAAATCACGGTTCATACCGTTCTACGGTACGTAAGTATTGAGCTACTTAGTAACATTTTAATAGCTGATGCTATGTAAGGTTAAAATTTGTATGCATTTACATTTGATATCATTTATTTTATACAAGTACCAGTGTACCACAATGACATTTTCAAAGTATTTAGATTATAATTTTTAGATATTTATCCCATGAATCTATATCCACACTGTATTTTTCGTTTCATCTATAGAATTTTTAAGCATCTGACTACGATTTTATATAATATTATAATAGTTAATAATAATATAACACACGCGATAGTTTCGAGATAAATTAGTTCTGCAACACACCGTATGGCGTATGTACTGTACTAATTGAAAAATAAATTACTCATTACTGCATTTAATATAAATTATTCATAATATAATCTAAGAAACGAAGGCTGACATACCATCTCCACGCAGAATCTTTTTTGAAAGCAATTCTTTTGAAATTAAATTAAAATTTAACACGCATTCATTACACGCAGTAACCTATACTCAATGACGAGGAAAGCACACTTAAACCTATTATACAGCTGAGCAACTTCTCCAGTTTTTTTTTTATTTACTAATAGCACTAATTAAACATTTAATTCACAAAATATTTTTTTACTATACGATTGTCACAATTTTTCAACTTTACGTATAGAAAAGCGCAATATGGATTGTCCCTTGTAAATTCCATTTTTTCCGTTTTAATTTATTGTGCCGTTTTTAATTATATATCTATACCTGTCGACTGTCGTTTGAAATATCCTTAAACACGCTACAGACACGCGCGCAGCACCCGACGTCACTGCAATATTATTATTCCCGTTAATACTTAATTGGTGGTTATAGGATATTATACGTACTTATATTATTCGCATGCGTAGATATAGCTGCCGCATCAGGTGTACATTTAATTTATAATTATTGTATACTCCGATCGCCGCAGCGTGTCATCATAATAATATTGTAATCGAACAGGTATATCCATTCGGTTTGTTCGATGTAATATATCCAACGATAATGATGATATCCTTTTCAAGTGCTCCGACGGTGCGCTGCAGGCGTGGAAAACAATAATATTGTTCATAAATTATAATACGCGCGTATATAGTGTGTAGTGTGTACGTATATAGATTTAAACGTTTTCGTCGTCTGCGACGGATCGTTATCTCGACGTAGGTATATATTATGTTTCTATGGCATGTATATACCTAAAAGTCCAATAAAAAAAAAGGACTGATAAAAATGTTCTACGAAAAAAGTCCAAAAATAAAAGTCTGGTAAAATATGCAATAAATATATTTATAATTACCTAACATGCAAGTAGGTAATAATATCTTTTAAATTAACAAATGCACAAATTAATATTTAACTTGTATTTTAATTGATTTAAATACCTATTAAAAAATAAATAACTTTAATAGTGTAAAAAAAATAATCTTTAAATATAATCCAAATTTTTATTTATATTTTGTACCTACCAAGTACCAGTTAAAACCATTTTAAGTGTATTATATTTAAACATTATGTAGGTGCATATGCATGTTAGCAACAAAATATCTATTATAACATACCTATTATCACTTTAATAATAAATAGTGTAACAAACAGCGTATAGCTATAATAAAAATAAATACATAGGTACAATACATTTTTTTCAAGGGAAAAGTTAAAATACCTCATGATTTAAATCAGGTTCATTAGCTTCGCGACTAACTCGAATATACGATTTTTCGATCAGTAAAAATGAATATAATAATATAATGATGATATATACAGGAATAAAAAATTTGTTTTCTCTATAAACGTGGATAATTATTGTGGAAACCTCGAGAAAATAAATTAGGAAAATATGGGGGAGCATTATAAAATTATTCGATGAATAACAAAACAGGTTGATGAAAAGGTAGTATATTATATATATATATATATATATATATATATGTAATATTTTTTGGAAATAAGATTTTTTTAATACTTCGAATGGAAAATGTTTGAGTTCTGTAAATTATTTGCTAAATATTAATTTACTAATTAATCAATATTTGATAGTGTGTACGACTAAAATACTTATGATTGCGCCATACTAATGTGATATGAGGCGTGTGGTATGATACCTATGATCACCGTTTACTATTTTCACAAAGGTCTATCGATTTTTTCTGCAAACAACTGCTTCAGTATTGTTATAGTTCCTGTATGTGCAGTGACGTATAAATTAAATGAAAATGACTATATATACACACATATATACTGTGTGACATACAGTTGTTAGTGCAAAAGTGAATATTACGCAAAATTAGGTAAATTAATTTATGATAACTCAAATGGATTATGTTAATAGTTGTAATACACAGTGTTGGACATTTGAATTATGTTTTTGGCAATAAATAATAATTTGTCAAATTAATACCATAATTAGTAATAATGTGTTATTTTAAAACAGTCATGCCACATATTACATTAAAACATACTAGAATTTAAAGTTGTTTCAACATGAACATAAACATTATAATGCGACTATGGTCAAAAACTATATTTTAAAATCGTCATCAAAAATCAACGTGGAAATGTGTTAGTTACTGACAGCATATTTTGTAGTTAAATACAACACCTGCACATATTTTCTATGCGATACGCAGACACGCAAAGCGCCCGCACTAAAAACCACAAGAATATTATTATATTGTGTTCACGACGAAGGGTATAAGTGTAGAGCGTATTGCTGGGTGGAAGTTACACTCATCTTACATGTTATATAGGTACGACTTACGGACTAACGTGGATATGAATTTTTTTCAAAAAATTGAATCCCAACGATAGATGTCACAGGAATGGGGTACAAGATTTTCAACACAAGTATATCATTTTATAATGTATGTATAATATTTATATATTTATATTATATCATAATAAAACCAATTACAATATTCTAAACAAATCATTTATAGTATATATATATATATAATCACTTAAAAGAAAAAACTGTTTCGACGTAAAATAAATCATATTATAATAATATAGTAAGTATTATGTACATACAACGGTATAATATATGCCGACAGTAATAATAATAAAAAAAAAAACAATCAACGAAAAAAACCGTTTTCAGTACAAAACGTACTTTATATAATATAATACTTGTAAAATAATATGTATAGTACGCAGAAAAAAAGACATATTTTAATTCAAAGTTTTGATTTTAAAACAAGAAATAATAACTTTGGGAACAACGTCGGGGCGACGATGTGATAATTTGTTATTACAAATATATATAAATATATGTAATATATTTTATGTCTATAACTATAGGTAAGTACCTACCTATTTTAATTGAATGGAAAACAAATACATCGTTCGTAGTTTTATGTGTGTGTACTTATGTGTGATACATAGACACTGTAATACGCGTATATATAGAAATAAAATTATATTATGATATTTTATTAGATGTCCGGCCGCTGTCTGCGTTTCGATTTCTGACGTCGGAGATCAGAGTTTTGGTGATTACTCGACAAACGAAAAAAAAAAAAAAAGTAATACGCCAGTGGCATAATAATGATGATTATATTATTATGTCATGTCGAGTGACCATCAAAAGTCTGAAAAATATGTCGTCGGATCCCGAAACCGAAAACGGTCGACATAGTGAAGTTTCACTAAACCTAATCTAAAACTCGTCACTTCAACAACATTATAGTAAACAATAATGATACAAATAGTTAATAATAAAAAGATAGACGATTATTTTTTTATTTTTTTATTTATTTATTTTTAGGTACAGTGATGATAATATATATATATATTTTAAAACCAAACGCACAGTCAATAAAATATTACACTTACAATTTATTTACGTAAGGTATTTCCTAAATTACATAGGAAAATTTAAATACACCATTTTTTTTAACTCTAATCCGTATAAGAACTCTACAATAAAATAATGAGGAACATTAGTGAGCGTAAACGCAATTTTAATTAAAACGTAGGTATATGTTATAGTTTTTAATATTTTTTTTTGTTTTTTCTTATTTTTAATTTCAAACATTTTATAGGTGAGTTTATATTTGGGGTTTGGAAATACTTTTAAATCTAAATCAAATAATAATCGTAATAATAATAATAATGATAATAATATAATAATAATAATAATAATAATCATAATAATAATAATAATAATAATAATAATAATAATAGTAATAATAAGAATAATAATAATAATTGTAGTGTAAAATAATAAATAACAGACTAGTCAAACATAAACCGAATTTACAACATTTTTTTTTTTTGTTAGAAATTACTCATTTCTAAAAGAGAAAAAAACAAACGATTGTTAACAATAAAAAAAAAAAAATCCTACACGACAAAATTCTAAATTTATAAACATTTTGTACTTATTTTTATGAAAAATTATTTACACAATGGAAAAATGGGATTTATATTGTTTTATATTATTATACACGATGTGTTCAACACGTTATTTATATTTACAATTTTTCCGGGAATGTTTATCAAGATAATATTGTATAATATTAATAAAATTATTACCATTTACAATATTATTTTTCTTTCACATAATCACGCATCCACTCGATCTATACGTAAACGTGACACGTATGTATAAAGCGGTTGGAAAACTTTAATAATGATTATGCGAACTTTAAAAATGCAGTCTTCGGTGTGGAACTCATGATGATCTCTCAGGAATGTAAGAGGTACTTTCGTTGAAACGGAATCAGAACGAAAGAAAATTCAGTTTAAAAAAAAAATAGTCGTAAACTGTACAACGTCCGGTGAACACGAAAACCATATAGAATATAATATATATTAATTGGTTGATAGGTAGGCATTTGGAATGGTACGTTGTTTTCAGTTAGCATAATATTGTTTTGAGCGAATCGATGTTATGCTGTTTAACCGTGGGTATAATATATAGCCTTATACGAACAGATAAAGGAAGATTTAAAAAAAATATATATATATTTATATAAAATTAAATTAAAACAAGACTGTATTTACACCAGACCTATATAGAGGGGTGAAAGCGGTACACGATAGAAAGACGAGTGGCGAAGAGGACGCCTTGTTTTCTGTATGGTTTATAATAAAAATGTTATATAACATTTTTTCAAGAAAAGTTTTTAGTGAAACGGTAACTAAACAAGAAAAAAAAACATAAAACTGCATGGTCAAAACAAAAATATTATTGTTATATAAATGTTTTTCGAGATCTATTTGTATTTTGTAAATTATCTATATATATATATATTTCTTAACACACTTACATAAAATTAAAATATGCGTGTCGAGTACGATTTAATAGTAGATATCGTTATTAAATATATTTTATTTTCGTTTTCGTCGATTCTTCAGTGAACTCGGCAGCCGCCGTCAGTATATCGTCGTACTCTGTACGGGGAGGGGGCTGAAACCCCTCCAGGGGAAGAGTCATGTGTTGTCTTTGGAAACGGCCGAACTGCTGTACGACTCGTCGTCGATCATGGACGACGGTAAAATGTAACCGCCGGCACCGCCAGACTCTGTGGTCTTTGAGCCGTCGTCCATTTTGATATACTGGCTACCCTCTAGCTTAATGTTCTGGTTGACCACGCACTTGCGCATGTGCTTCTCGAGCGTGGACGGCACCGAGAACGGCATTTCGCAAAACCGACACCGGTACACGTCCTTGCCCAGACGACCGTGTGTCTTCATGTGCCTGGTCAATTTGGAGCTCTGGGCGCACGCGTACGAGCACAATTCGCACTTGTACGGTTTTTCACCGGTGTGCGACCGTCGGTGCACCGTCAGGTTGCTGCAGTTCTTGAACACCTTTCCACAGTACTCGCACGTGTCGTTGCGCCTCGACTCTTTTTTGGAGTGCGCCCCCTGCAGCCCCAGGTTCAGGGCTGCCGAAAGCGAACTGGGACCCGGTTTTGAGCGACCGCCACTACCACCGCCACCGCCACTGCCCGGTTCTCCGACTCCACTTCCGGCCGATGGTGGTTTTCCAGGAAGTCCGCTCAAGAACGACTCGCCCCGATGGTGTGCAGCTATAGCCGGAAGCCACATATTCGCTGCGTACAGCCGTTCTCGGGTGAGTAGTGGGTGATGCGGGTTGTCGGTATCGAGCTTCAGCCTCTTGGAGGCCGGGTCAAACGGATTCTCAAACGCGGAACCCGGTCCAAAGATGCCATGGTGTGCGCCCACCAGGTCGAGTGGATTCTGGCCAGCAGCGATCAGATTCTTGGTCAGCTCCTCACGAAATCGGATATCTGCTGCAGTCTTGTCGACAAGTCCATTCTCCAGGTTGCGCAGTGGGTTTGCCGATTTTGTCGAACTGTTGTTGTTGTCTGGTATGATGGACGGAGATAGGCGAAAGTTGTCTTTCCGCCGGATCCGGAATTGAGGCGAAAGCAACGAAGAAGACTCCTTGAGCGCTTGCTTGTATGCTTCACTATACTGTTGGATATTACTCAAGCCAAATTTGCTCATGAGCTCGCCGACCAGAGAGCTCGGTGGTAATGGTTGCGGTATACGATCACCCGGTGTGTTCTCGGGAGATGTGCGATTGGAACTGTTGCCGCCCGGCTTCTTGTCGTGTTCGGCTGACGACGTCGACTTGGTTGTCAAGTCTTCTGGAACGTCGCCACCTTCGTCGTTTTCATCGTTATCCTCATCTTCCAGCTCCATATCCTCCTCTTCTTCTTCTTCATCCTCGTCACCATCGTCCTCATCAGCATCGTCTTCGTCAGCGTCGTCCTCGTCACCATCATCCTCCTCCTCGATTTCCGCTTCATCATCGTCTATTTCAGAATCGTCCTCGTCATCATCGTTGGATGTTAAGTCCGGTGTCGAGCTCGTATCCACCCCATTGGCGGTCGTCCCACACTCGCCACCGGCCAGCCCGTTTCCCCGGTTCGACCGGCGGTGCGTTTTCATGTGCCGCTTCAGCTTGGAGCTCTGCGTACATGCGTGGTCGCATACTGAACACTTGTACGGTTTTTCTCCGGTGTGCGTACGTCTATGTACGATCAAGTTGCTCAGAAACCGGAACTTCTTTCCGCAGTATTCACACTCACGAGTTTTCTCCTCTTCACCAATCACCTGTGGTTGACTGGTAATGTCTTGACACGTCTTGTCCTTGGACGCATTGGACGACAGGTCAAGCGTGTGTCTGGACGTGTCGCCGGCGATTCGGTCTTGTTCGGTTAGTGACTCGACCGAATTGTTGTTGCTAACGTTGTTGTTATTGTTGTTGTTATTACTTAAACCGACGGTGACCGCTGAGGGAACAGTAGTGTTAGTCTGCGGTGCTATAGTCACGGCTGCCGTTGCCGATACACTGTTGTTGATGTGATTGTTGTTGTTGTTGTTGTTGTTGTTGGGGCTGCTAAAGGGAGGCGTCATTTTTCGCGGCGAAGGCGACGAACTTGGTGCAGTAGCAGCTCCAGGACTAGTGGTACCTGCGAGTTGCCGCAATCGCTGCGAGTAAAAATCCATCTGCGGATCGAGATTTAAGGCCGGTAACGTTGGCGCTGGGTGTCTAGGATTGTTCCGGTCATTGGCTGCAGCCGCGGCGGCTAGCCCCGGAAATGGTGACGTGGGCATGGCATTTGCCGCGGCCACTGCCACGGCGAAACCCAGCCCGTGCTGCTGTTGGTTGAGTCTGAACTGTTCGGACATGAGCTGCTCCATGCGGAACTGATGATCTTGGTGATGACTGGACGTCCGTCCGAACAGCGGTGGATTGCCGATGGGAGACGTCCCGGGGAACGGAGACGGACGTTGGGGAGGCTCGCCCATCGGCATCCTAAGCAAGCCTCCAACAGCAAAAGGGTTGTGCATAGGCATAGACATAGGGTTGTTATCGACCATTGATGGCGGCCCGGTACTCGTGGGTGGTGGTGGAGGCGGTGGTGGATGGGAATGCATGTTCATCCGGGAAGGAGGCATGCCTAGGGTGAGCGGCAGTACCGACGACATGCCTGGAAGTGATGACGTGTTGCTGCTCGAGCACCCAGACGACCCCAACGAAGAGCATGAGGAGTTGTTCTTGGACTGCGACACTGGCGATGGCGTACCATCCGTGTAGATCTTCATCGAGTGTGAGGTCTGAGCATGCTGCAAAAGCCTCCACGACGAGTTGAACCTCGCCTTACACGTGCAACACACGAAACTGCTAGGTTCTGCAAACATGAAAGAAAAAACGAAAATTCGATTAGAACGGCCGTTGTATTTCGAAATTTTCTATCGGTCAAACGACCGTGCGCGAGTAATGTTACACGCGGTACCACAGGCTGTGCACATAATGTAATTTATATCATACACGAGTACAGACTATAATATAATATATAAATATATATATATATATTACAAATGTACATGGCGACAACAATACTCTCGAGGTCCGGCTCGACGCTAAGAAAAAAATAATAATATAAATAAACCCATACTGCGCGCCGCAACCGTCAAGCGTAGGTATATTCAATTGATTTAAAATTTAATAATGGAACAAAAGAGACGACGGTGTTTTTATGTTTTCGTAATAGAGCTGGACGTCGTTGTGTTTCTATCGCATTATTGTATGCAATACGTGTACAGGAGGTATAGGCATATCCAAACCCTTATTCATTTTATATTATGTATATAGCTTACGAGCGCGCGCTGCAGTTATTATTCCTCAAACTCGGTGGCACAAAATGAAAGAAAAAAAATTATGATTGACTTGAGAATAGATTGCGCGAGATCGGACTCCGAGCGACTGCTGAGCGACGGCGGCGGTTGCGAGTAACGGCCGTTTTCCGGCAGCGACGACGACGACGACGACGCCGCCGCCACCGTTGCCGATGACGTGTGGCTACGACCAAAAAGGGTCATACAACGTTATACATAACATTATTATGTGCGTGCGAGCAGCTGACCGAAATTTTGCGGGAGAACAACAACGACGACGACAACTGCGCGTTATTGCACAAGATTCGGCGAGTTTTTGTTATTTAGAAATCTATATTGTGTTTCGTACGCGCACAATCAGTATATATACTCGTCGAGAGCTCAATATACACAGTCGTTGTGGTCGTAATAGTAGTTGTAGTTTTAGGGGGCGGTAAAAATTTCATTAAAAAATATTAAACAAAAAAAAAAAAAAACTCGAGAGAAAGAGAGAGAGACGGACATTCACACCCCATCATATATATCATTATACGCGCGTATATTATGTTTAAAGTGGTGTTTTTTATATTTTAAAAAAATGACCCGAGGGATAATATGTAACGCGACCACCGCCACCGCGTTTCCCTCTAATCCCGTTATCGGGTTGTAAAGTTTATTTTTTTTCCCCCCGTCGGACAAGATGTCGGTGTGAAAAATAAAAATATTATGTTTTCGCGGTGGCGGCTGCTGCGCTACGGTAATGGCAGTAGCGGCGAGCGCAATAATGAACGAGTGGCGTATAAACACGGGCGCCGGGTGGCGCGATGATGCGCTGTTACGACCGGACCCCGAAAGAGGATATTATTGAAAAAAAAAACTGTAAAAAACGACTATGGAAATGCAACGGGCAATGTGCTCGTACGCGACGTCGGCGGCACGGCTGGACCGTGCGTGACTCGAATGCGGAAGCGCGAAAACGTTAGAAGAAAGACGCGAAATATGGAATAATATAATATCGTACAATATAATACCGACCGGAATCGGTTAAATAAAATAATACCAAATCTCATACCAGATGCGAACTATTGCGCACGAAATGTCGTATCATGCGCGAACGCGTCGCCCGAATTTGGTTCGAAGACAAGGCGATTATTAATTATTACTATTGTTATTATCATCGTCACACGATAATCTATCTAGTTCGCCAATAGATGATTCATTTATGCAATAAAATGCAATATGGCACACGAGTACCTATACACGAATTACGACGAATCCAGACGACATAAATATGCTATTATCGTACATCGTCTAAATAATATACGCTTTTGTCGTTTTCTTTTATACTTATTTCGTTTTTTTTTTTTCAGCGCGGTCCTCGCGCCACGCACCGTGATCGATGCTGCGGAGGTGATTGTGAGGGGGAGAGGGGCACTGGAGAGAACACGGTTTCTCTAAATAACACGAAAAGTCGAACCGAGCACGTTTCTCCGTGATGCACGATAACAGTGTCGTCTATAGTATAGTGTATAATATACGTACTAGTATAGGTTCATCTGAGTGCAGTGCGAGAAGAGGAGGGCTATAGAGGGATATTTCATTTTTTTCAAATGCAAATTTTAACCATCTCGCGCTTCACACACACACACACGTACACGTACACACATTATTACGGTTAGATTTTCTTTTACCGCCGCCCGCAACGCTGTGTGTCTATATAAATATATATCACATACACACACACACACACACACGATATTATTATAATATAGTATATTGTATACGTGAATATACGCGACGAGTTTCCTCTTCCGGCGCCGCGCGGGTCATATATGCGGGGGAAGTGCAGACGAGGATCGTCGTCGTGTGCGTGTCGCCAGCTATATATATTCTGTATAATACGTATACATTATTATAATATCTATGAGCGCATTCATCATCGCCGGCCACAAGTGGACCTCACCACCGCAACCTCTTCCTCATCCTTCTACCGCCCCCGCCGCGTACCGCCATACGTCTTTAACCGCCGCGTGTATATTTATAATATACATACGTACGTATATAACAGTGCGTATATTATAAGAAGATAACGTCGGCGGCGCGAGTACTGCACAAAAGCGGCAGAGGACCCGCGGGTGCTAGCAACGGAACAATGACGGAGGACCGTACGTGGGTTATCTCATCGTCGTCGTCGTCGTCGTCGTCGTCGTCGACCCTCTCAAGCTTTTTAAGGTTTAAAAAATAAAAAAAATAAACGAGCTTTATGGACAATCTGTGTTAGCCGTCATCTGCGCGGCAGTAGATGGTCTCCGACTAAGGGAGGGGGGGAATGAGAGAGCAGTAAATTTGCATTTTTTTTTTTTTTATCGCAGGACCTGCGTATAGAAGAATAGCTCCTGTTTTGCATGCGGGTGACCCTGCTGTCCGCGTAAAGCTATATTATTATAATATAATATAGGACGAACGAAATTGAGAACTATATGTACATACACACTCACGCTCTAAATTACATGTAAAAAATATTCAAATAAAACAATCGCTTCACTGTCGATTTTAGCAAATTATGATACGCGTCTAAACGTGTATTCGAACGACTCTCCGCCAGACGTACCCATCAAACTATAACCGCATTATTTTATTGAAATTTTTATTATTTATTTATTTATTTATTTATTATTGTTTGTCTATCATCGAGTGGTCTACGCGACACTTTGTTTCACTACTACAGACTACCGTCATCAAATATTATTATTGGAATAATCGCCCGAGGCCTTCATCACGGACGGACCGCGTGACGCGGTCACGTGACAAGGATCGCGTCCGTCAGCGAACCGACGAGTGGTCCGACCATACGGACGAACCGTGCGTTTGACGGCGATGATAATATCATCATAATAATAAATAATAATATATAATACACAATACAATAAAATATGTGCCTAAATATAATAATAGTAATAAACCGCCGCCGCCGACCTTATGCACACTGCAGCCAGCAGCAGCAACCCATATATCTATACGGTATATTATAATGTAGGTACCTACCCCCGACGGGCACGCGTATACGCCGAATTACCTGCCTGTACCTAAGGGTCTGTCACGATACATATTATTGTATTTTAAAGCGATGGACGCGTGTACGTGTAATATATTATGCGCGCAACCCTTTTTATTTTTCCGAAATTGGGGTGTGTACGTCGCCGACGAGGCCGCCGCACAGCTGTGACGGACACCAGGCTTTAATAATATTCATTTTTCCACTGCTCGTGTAATATTATACATACAGATATACTTTAATAATAATATATAATATCGGGTACGCGCGACATGTAGTATACGCGGTGTGATCTGCATCTGCTGCAGTCTCCGCATAGTCGAATTCGTATTTTTCCTCGCCCAATCCTTTTTTATATTATACATAATAATATACGCTGTTCACGTATATAACCCTCAATGGGCGCCCGACACTCAACGATTTTCATGAAATTCGTCAAACGTCATCTCGTTTTTGGGTAGATATTATTTATTGAAGCTATTATTGTCTGTCGTCCGTCACGAGTGTCCACCTCCTCCTAATCCCCCCCCCCAACACTCACCCGTGAACTACATGAATGACTGCAATAGTTTCGACCTTCTGTTGTTGCATCACAAACGAACGTACCGCCGTCGAGTCGATCATATAATCATACTTACAATATGTAGATACAATCCGCAGAGAGTATACATTATTTGTATAAAATATGTAATATATATAATATGATATTTGCTTAAAGATACTGAAACTCATAACTTTACAAGCTATAGCGCCGGACAACTGAAGTCGTCGTCATCGTTGCACATTTAAATAAATCAATTATCGTTGGTCGCGAATTACTAACATGCGTAACGTCAAATATATTAGTACTATGCATAAATACAACGTCTTAACAAGCCGGGTAAACTAACGAATAGAACCTATGTCATTTATGTACACACCGCGCTATTATTATTAAAACGATTTAGCTGCTATTTATTTATCAACCACCCACCCGCCCGCCATACTCGATTATATAATTGGTTTATTGTATATACGTATAATATACATTATACATTTTGTAAATGGTATAAAATGTAATTGGTTTAATTTATAATATTATATTATAGGTTGGCGTATAATTTATTTATGTTTTAAATAACGCGCGGAAATTAAAGGTAAGTCGGTACACGGTACGTTTATACGAATATCATCTATGTAACATAGACATTCGATATTTATATATCTGTGCTGGATAGATAATAATTAATAGACATAATTCTAGATGAATTATGACGCTTATTTTTTACTTTGTATCAGACTTTTTCACTAGTTAACATAAACAATAATATTGTTACTGTGAAAAATTACCTGAGACGATATCGTTTCGTGAAAATTCAACAGTTATGAACTATGTTGTAATAGTACCTATATAGTACCTACTTATTAATTTTATAGGATGAATATATTGTTGTATGATCCGTTGTAGTTTTCAGGGCACTTATACGTAAGAGTATTCAA